AACCCAGACCTCCCCATTCTGGGCCCCTCACCCCCCCCATAGTTGGGATGCTGCATCTCCCATCCCGGGGGCCCTTGCCCCCCCCATATCGGGGACCCCGGAGCCCCTCCAACTTTCCCGATAGCAGGAGCCCGGATTCCCCCTCCTCTCCAGGGGCCCTCGCCCCCTGCCCCTGATAGCAGGGGCCTGGATCCTGATCCTCTCCTGGGGACCCTCACTTCCCGACTGCTGGGGTCTCTCTCAGGGTGAGGCTTAGGGGTGAGTTTCAGGCTCTCGGGTTTCCCTTTAGATGCTGGGATTAAGGGGAGTTTGGGGGTATGGGGAGGTGCCTTCCCTGCCCCATCATCTGTCTCATTTCCCCCAGGCATCGCTGCTATCACTCCCTGTTCCCTCTCAACTACCTCATTATTTTTTAATGATTGGGAGCTGCCTGTCCATCTGCAGCAGACAGAGCGGTGCAGGGCGCCCAGCTTGATTCCTGCAGGGTCTAACCTTATAAAACTATCCTGCTTAGTGTTTTCTTTACAGTCTGATCAGCTTAGAATTGGACACATTTTATTTATTTTTTTGCTTGCAAAAGAAGCTTCGCTTTGTATTCACAGATCTGGGGAGAGAACCCCACTGAAATGAACATGTCTGCTGTTTATTTCTAGAAACAGGCAAGTGGCCGTTCTCTTCTGCGACCCATTGATAATGCCAAGCAAAAGGATGGGAATAATTTAATATGAACATGTAACTAGACTATCTACCATGGACATGAAAGATCTACAAGAATATAGGGTTTGGTTACTGTGATTTGTTTGTAACGTAGCCATTCGATCGAGGTGGCTGTTGAGAATAACTCTCTGCTTCCACATGGCCATAAACATTGAAGAGTATTGAAGGATATTTCTGGCCCTGTATGTTGAAACACAAATGGGAAGAACAAGGCTTTTCCTGCAAGATTTTATCTATATTTTGGAACTGGACTTTTTTTTACTTGTGAATTAATTTTCATAGATTTGAAAGATCCACTCAGATTAATGTACTGTATAGCTGTTTATTTTAGCCTAACTAAATATTGTCTGATCAGCACCTTCTCAACTAAGTACCAGGAAAGTTATATAGTCTGAATGGACAGAGCAGCATTTGCCTGTTCCACTGCGTTCTTTCGTGATTACAGCAGCGCATCTCATGGTGCAGTCTCCCTGCCCCAAGGACATGTTGACTATATTGAAAAGGTAGAATCGTTTAGTTACTCCGATTTTTTCAGGGACTATCTGATTCCCAACCACCCATGTGTTTTCTCAGCTAAATTCACTGAGGGCTGGGGCAGCAGGAGGAATTGGGTGACTCGGGATGGGAAGCCTAACTTTGATTATCTACTGCAGCATTTTGGTAAGTGATTAAGTTTTTAATATGTCATTTAATATGAATGATACAAGTCAAAGAGTTTTTAATAACAGGGCCTCTGGCAATGACAAATATCCTCTGAGCCTTAAAGGAATCAGCCTCTCAGTTGATACGTTAATTTATAAGAATATATAAAAATGGTGCATCTAGCCCAGTATCCCATCTTCTGAGAGTAGCCGGTGCCAGATGCTTGAGCGGGAATGAACAGAACAAGACAGTTATCGAGTGATCCATCCCCTGTCATCCAGTCCTTGCTTCTGGAAGTCAGAGGTTTAGGGCCATCCAGAGTATGGGGCTTCATCCCTGACCATTTTGTCTAACAGCCAGTGATGGACCTATACTCCATGAATTTATCTAATTCCATTTTTGAACCCAGTTTTACAGTTGGCTTTCACAGCATCACCTGGCAATGAGTTCCACAGGTTGGCTGTGTTATGTGAAGAAGTACTTCCTTATGTTTGTTTTAAACTTGCGGCCTATTAATTTCATTGGGTGACCCCTGGTTCTTGTATTCTGTGAAGGGGTAAATAACACTTCCCTATTCACAATTTTCTACCCTCGTTTGTACTTTTCCCCCTTCGCCAAGCTTTAATTTAATCTAAAAAAATAAATCTGAACTCATTTAGGGCCCTATCATGCAAATTTACACTCCTTCTTAACTTTACACATGTGAATAATCCCAGGTACATGCTCAAGTGTTTATAGGATCTATATTGGGTGGATGGGGAAGGAACAGGCTTTGGCTATTCTGGAAATCTAAGTCTCTCTTTATGCTGTGAGAGATTCAGAGTTTTGGCTACAGCCCATATCCCATCCCCAACGCACTTTGCTTTCATGCATTTTGGGTGGTGTCATTGCTGCATGCCTCATTCAGTTAACACTTCCATAAATTGTGCTATGAATAATGTTGATCTAAGGTTTAGTGGCAATATCAGGAAAGCGAGACTGGCTAGAGACCATGTCTGCATAAGTGTTTGTACAGCACCTAGCACAATGGGGCCCAGATACTAGATGCTAACATACTATAAATATGGAAGGATTACAGTTTTGGCACCAGTTATTCTGCTTCCCAATTGGCTCAAAAGGTTTATATTTCAGGGAAGGCTGTAGTACCTGTTGCCAACTGTGATGTCAAGGAATACAATTCTAATCCAAAGGAACAGATCCCTCTCAAGGAGTACATAAGTTATTGGAAAGAATACATTAAAAAAAACTACCATTCCCCCCGGGGGTGCCTCTACCTCAAAGATTGGCACTTGTACAGGTAAGAGAGCACTTTGGAATCCTCAGCATGCTGTAATACAGCAGTGAACTGCTGCTAAACCGTGACACTGATCTTTCATTACCTGATGGTTTCACTGAAGGCACCTATCCACTGAAATACTTTTCTTTTACTGTACTGATCTAAATGTGCCACACACCAAAGAGTTCTTAAACATTTTCATAGTGTTGGCTCCAGGGGTGAAAGTAACTTAAGGGAAAGTAACAGAGGGAGGCCGGGGTCCTGAGCAAGGTGTGTGTGTGGGCGGGGGCTCAACCAGAAGGGGAGGGCCACAGGCGGAAAGGGTGGGGCTGGGCCAGACTCCCCTAGCCAGCCCTTCAGCATGGCACGGCGGCGATTTAAAGAGCCCGGGGCTCCCGGCCGCCTCTGCTAGCGCTACCCCAGGGCTCCGGAGGTGATTAGTGGTAGCGGCGGCCAGGAGCCCCGGGGCTCTGGCGGTGATTTAAAGGACCAGGGGCTCCAGCCGCTGCCGGGAGCCCCGGGACCTTTTAAATTGCTGGGCCCCCGGGAAGCTGCCGGTGCGGTCGGCTGTATACTTATCGGTATACCGGCCCGGCTTACTTTCACCTCTGGTTGGCTCTTGCTTTGGCCTTTGGTTAGTAAGGTAAAAATCTTACCATTTTTAATTGTGTTTAATGCAATAAGCACTCTTTCCATTTTTAAATCAAAGTAAATCATGAGGACTTCTTGCCCTTCATTTAATCTTCCCGTCCCATCTGCTCTGTTCCTATCTCCCCATGCACAAGTTTCCCTGCTCCTTCTCTGCCCCGTGCATGCTGCCTGGAGGCACCCTCCCCTTCTTGTCCTGCCCAGCCGTCTAGTGCTCCTCTCTTCCTTGAATGGCTGCCGCTCGGGGCTGGCAGCTCCGCTGCTGATTCAAGTTTGCTACGAGTGAGTTCTGATTCTCCCTCTGTGTGGCAGTGACTTCTCACAGGGGCATCTAGACAGGGCCCTCTTCGCATATGTCTGTTTATTCAGACATCTAGACGTTACTTTGCCATGGAGCGCCTGGATGCCTGTGGAAGCAGCTGGAAATGAGGCGGCATCATAACCTCGGCCAAGCCTCCACACGCCACAGTTGGAGAACCCCTGCCAAACGCCATTGAAAAGCCTACGATTCCGCTTTGGCTTTTTTGAATGCGTTAACCAAGTGGGACGACTGGCTGGTTGTGCAGATTTCTTACTGGAGTGGACTTAGTGTTTACTAAGAGGGATTTAGTTAACTCTCACAACTCTCCTGTGAGGTAGCAAAACACAATTGCACCCATTTTGCTGCACCTAAGGCTAGATTCATGAGGGGGACTTAAGCATAACAGCCCCTTTTAGATGCCTACATCCAACATTTAGATGCTGTTGGCATTCACAAAATCACTGCTGAGCTGTCACCTAACCCTGGAGGTACCTAAAGTTCCCTGAGATCCCACCCTACTCAGCATTTCCTACTGGCTAGCTTACGTGGCTCCCTGCTCAGCATGCCGACTTTGAAAATCCCTTTTTTTGGGTGCCTGACTCTTCCCAGGCATTGTATAGGGCTCCTGGACACCTGACGCAGGGTTGTGAATTCCACCAGGTGGCCTAAAAGTCAGGTGTTGCAAAGTCTTGTGAATCTAGCTCCAGGAGGGTTGGACTAGATGACCTCCTGAGGTCCCTTCCAATCCTGATATTCTATGATTCTAAGTCACTTGTAGCAGATGACATAGCAAGGCAGTAATGGCCTCAATGAGACACGGCTCCAGCCACCTGACCAGTCTCTGCTGCTGAGCTTTGGGAAACCGAGATGATGAATGAATGTTTCTTTTCCCTGAAGCCTTTTTGCAATGCTTTGTCTTTTTAAGGGCTTTCCCAGAGCAAGATGTTTATACAACCCCCATCTATTTCACTTCTGACTGGCTGAATGAATACTGGGATGCCAAAGGCCTGGATGATTATCGATTTGTCTACATGGGACCTAAGGGTTCATGGTAAAGTAACTTCGATTTTTTTAAATTCCGATGCACTGTTTTAAACAGTCATTAGCATTACAGTCCTACTCCAAGCTGTGAGTCGGGACCTGGTCCCTATTGTGCTGGCTGCCACACAAGTATAACATAAGGCAGCCCTTTTCCCCCAAGGCACATGCAGTCTAAATAGGGACAACATGTGACCGACAGGTATAGATCACAATAGGGGACGGGGGTGAGAGAAGGCGACAGTGGGGACAGTCATAGGAATGCTAAGGCTGCACATATTACCTAAGTGTATATAGTAAATATGGCGAGATGACCTTGCTTGATGGCACCGTTCTGTCCAACATCTCTCGCGATGACTCTAGTCATAAAACCCCCGGAGTGAGCTGGGAAAGGGGAGCAGCCTGGCCAGTACGGGTCCCCATCCTGTATCCTTAATAGGAAGAATCTGGGGAGATTCGCCTGAGTGTGGGCTGCGGAATCGGATCTAAAGGTCGCAAGGTCAGGTTTTTAAGGTCAGGCTTGACAAAGCCCCGGCTGGGATGATTTAGTTGGGGATTGGTCCTGCTTTGAGCAGGGGGTTGGACTAGATGACCTCCTGAGGTCCCTTCCAACACTGATATTCTATGATTCTATGAGCCAAGGCTCGTAAAGGATATACAGAGGTTAGAACTAGTCACTCACGTTAGGTTCTCTGGCTCAGTGTATCCCGGGAGAAGAAAACAGGAGGGAGAACTTGGGGTATTACTTAGAACTTGGGCGTAACTGTGTTTGTATAGCACCTATCACGATGGGGTGCTGTTCCATGACTGGGGGTTCTAGGCACTACAGTAATACAAACAATTAATAATAATTGAACTCGGTTTTAATGAAAGCACAGTGTGTAAGCATCACTGGAGCGCCTTCATGTAGAGTACAGTACTGAAGGAATCCTTCAAACCTGCAGTGCCAGCTGCAGCCTCACGGGGGTGCTGACTAGTTAAGTGAGCACTTCTCAGATGTAAATCACTAAGGCCTGGTCTACACTAGTCTGTTATTTCGGAATTAGCCGAGTTAATTCGGAAAAAAAAAAAAAGATTCTGTCCACACGACCAAACCGGTTTTTTCGATTTAAAGGGCTCTTTAATCCGATTTCTGTACTCCACCTCAGCAAGTGGAGTAGCGCTTAAATCGAGATCGCAATCCCGGGTTAAAGGTATTGTGGATGCAATTCAACGTTATTGGCCTCCGGGAGCTACCCCAGAATGCTCCCTTGTGACCGTTCTGGACAGCACTCTCAACTCCAATGCACTAGTCAGGTGGGCAGGAAAAGCCCCGGGAACTTTTGAATTTCATTTCTTGTTTGGTCACCATCAGCACAGTCCACCATCACAGACAACCATGCAGAGTCCACCATCACAGGAGATCACGCATTCGCGGACGAGCTCCAGCATGGTCCGAACGGGAGGTACTGGATCTCATCGCATTTTGGGGAGATGAGTCTGTTATGGCAGAACTACCTTCCAAAAAAACGAATGCAAATACGTACGCTAAAGTCTCCAGGGCCATGATGGAAAGAAGCTACTCCAGGGACACAGAGCAGTGTCGTACAGAAATCAAGGAGCTCAGGCAAGCGTACCAAAATCCAGGGGGGCAAATGGGCGCTCTGGGTCACAGCCCCATACATTCCACTTCTACTGTGAGCTGCATGCGATTATGGGGGGTGATGCTACCACTACCCCACCACTCTCCCTGGACACCTGCAAGGGGGGGAGTTGCACGGAGCGAGGAGGAAGAGTCATTGGAGGATGAAGAGGAGGAGGACAGTGCACAGGCGGCAAGTGGGGAATCCGTTTTCCCCCCTAGCCAGGAACTATTCTTAATGCTGGAGCCAATAGCCTCCCCCCACTCCCAAGGCGGGCTCCCGGACCATGACCCTGGAGAAGGTACTTCTGGTGAGTGAGAGCCTGATCAGAGCCACGCGGTGAGGGGCGGGAGAAACCCAGCTGCTCTGGGCTGTTGGCATTTAGTTTAAAGGGCTCATCCCTGCTCAGAGCCTCATCGGAGCCACGCGGTGGGGGTGAGGGGGTGTTGTGTGAAGCGATCATCCCAGAGAGCCCGCAGGCCCTCCTTTTATATGACAAACCCACCAGGCATTGCTTGCTATGGGGAAGGGGGCCCAGCAGTTTGAAAGCATTGAAATGAATGTAGAAGAAGCAAAACCCCGCGTGCCCCTAGGCTGCCTGCAAGCTGAATTCTGTTGCCTGGCCGTGTGTGATGGCTTACTCATACCAAAGTGTCCCCTTTGTTCTCTGAAATGTATCTTTTAAAATACTACCCTCCCTTTTTCTCCTCCCACAGGTGCAAATGTTTCAAAGTGGCCACTATCTACTCCGTCCCAGAGGCTGGTCCAGATTAGAAGGCGGAAAAAACGAACTCAGGACGACATGTTCGCCGAGCTCATGCAGTCCTCCCCCACTGATAGGGCCCAGCTGAATGCGTGGAGGCAAACAATTGCGGAGTCCCATAAAGCATTACAGGAACACGAAGAGAGGAGGGACACGCGTGATGAGAGCAGGCAGGACGCTATGGTCAAGCTCATGGGGGAGCAAACTGACATGCTCCGTTGTATGATGGATCTAATGCGGGAAAGGCAGCAAGACCACAGACTGCCGCTGCAGCCCCTGTATAACAGCTCTCTCTCCTCCCCAAGTTCCATAGCCTCCTCACCCAGACGCCCAAGAACACGATGGGGGAGGCTACGGGGACCCACACACGCAACCCCAGAGGATCGCCCAAGCAGCAGAAAACTGGGATATGCGAACTTTTGATTTGGTTTCTGGACTTGTCCTTCCCTCCTCCTCCACCTCCCTAACCCAATATTCCCTTCTCCCCCTTCCCCGGTCTACCTTCGGATTTCTCTCAATTTGTTGTGCAACAAATAATAAAGAACA